CGTCCGTCGTGGCTCAGCGTGGCGGGTCCCGGGGGAGGGGCGGCCGCCACCGCCGGGCGCGGTCCGAGGGCTGCCGGTGCGTGCGCTTTGGCGAGGACCGCAGACGCCCGGCGGCCTGGCCCGTACGCGATGCTCGCGGGTGCCGGGGGTAGGGGTGCTCGGGGAGCTCCGGGCGCTTTCGGTGGCGGTTTTCCTATCCCTGCGCCCCCTCCGCGGGCTTTCCACCGTGGCCACCAGCGACACTTAGAAGTGCCACCCCAGAAAGGGTTGGAAACGAGATGGGTGTACAGCTCGGAACTGGTGGTGGCGGCGAACCGGGGGGCGCTCATCCTCGGAGCAACATTGCCACCTGCTGGCCGCCCTCGGGAGCTGCCGTGGCCCTGGCGTCTCGGGAGGGCGCGGGTCCACCCGGGAGCAACGCTCAGACGCTGTTTCCGTTCCTTTTTCCTTAAAGCTGCAAGAATCAGTGCACAGACAGCGTGTGTTCTGTGGATTTTTGTGTATTTTTTTTTATTTGGTTGTGAAGGCAGTTATCCATCCTTTGCTTTGATGTGCAGAGCGGCGTTCGCCTGCCGTACCTTGTTATCCTAGCACACCTGTGAGGAAGGCGGGTGGGTGCCTGTTCCTGTTTGCGCGTAAGGAGACCTGGTGTTGGCACCTTGGCGACCAGTGCGCCACTAGCTGCTGCTCCTGAATGTGTCCTCTGCAGCCACAGCAGTTTGGGGACAGTCCAACGCAAGCGTTGTCATTGCCTTCCCTGGCTCCGTAACTGGGGCAGAAAAGGTTTGAGCCAGGACTGTCCCAGCCCACACCCGTCGCTGGAATGTGCCGCCGCGCGCAGGGAAGGCAAAACAGCAGCAGGCCCTGGTGGGGCGCAGGGCTCCTGCGTGCCCCTCCCCCGCCGGGACACCAGCCCGCTGCCACCCATGCGCTCCTTCGGCCGCCTGGGCTGAAGCTGTGAGATCCCGGAGAACATTGGTCGCAGAGGGAAAAACAGGCCGTGTAATTTCCACAGTTAGAATTAACTTAGCAGAGCTGGAATTAGCTGGACCTCGGGCATCTGAGGCTTGAAGCCCTCGGTGGCTTTGGGGCCCTGAGAGCGCCTCCCGTGGTCTTTAATCAGGCCGGGGCGGGGTGACCGTCGGTGTCCCGGGCTGTGCCGCAGGAGGCGCCGTGCAGAGCTAGAGAACGGGTCCGGCTTTGCTTGCCCTTGTCCTGTCCAGCCGAGCCGCTTGTCCCTGGGTGCTTATTTCTGTTTGAGATGATCCAGGAGAAGGCGGTGGTGGCCACGGCACAGGCGGCAGCTCCCAGGGCTGTGGGAGTGGCCGTGGGGAGTCGGACGTCAGAGCCAGAGAGGCAGGGCAGCTCCCGCTTTCTTAGCAAGGAGAAGCCCAGGGAGCCGCTGAGCAGCTTGCTGCGTCCGAGGCATCGCAGGATTCTGCAGGAAGAAAGGCAACAAACAAACAAACAAAACAAAACAAAAAACCCGGAGTGCTCCGGCGAGCTGCACACCAGTCCCTGCAGTGCCAGCCGGCGAGCCTCGATGGAAGCATGTTTTTAAAAACTTATTTCCGTTGTATTTGTAAGGCAGAGAGAGAGTCCACCTGCTGGTTCACTGCCCTTCAGAGCCAGGCGCCTGGCACTCACTCTGGGTCTCCCACAAAGGTGACAGCAGCCGGCACCTGCTGCCCCCCAGGGTGCGCATGGGCGGGAAGCAGAGAACTGACCTGGATGTGGGTGTGCACGCAGCCTCACTCCTGCCCCCGGTCCTGGTTTGTAGAGGAAGAGACAGAAGCCACTCCCGCGTGAGATGCGTGGCATCTCCCCAGAGAGGAGAAGGACCAGGAGTGCGCCTGGGCCAATCTGCCTTGCTGGGCTCTCTTGCTAGAGCGTGGTGGGAGGGGATGGAGACGGAAGTCTGTGCTGTGGGTGAGACAGCTGGGATGTAGCAGGCGTGCATCAGCCCCCCCCCCCCGCGGCTCCCTGCTGCTACTGCTGCTGTCCCCTGTGGTGGCCCATTGCTGTGCCTCCACCTCTGGCAGGGTCCCCAGGGTGAGCCTCCGCTCCTAGGGTCGACCCCCAGAGGGCCACTCATCGGGGGAGGCAAGGCCTGGGCGGTCACGCACGAGTCAGTGTTGTTGCCAGGAGTTGTAGGGGAGTGCTGGCCTGGGAGCGAGGGGAGCCAGGACCTGAGACCCACGCGGTCCCGTGGAGGCTCTGTGGTCCTTGACCGCTGCTTGTGCCAGGGCGTGGTGCTCATGGGGGCAGCCCCACGGGCTCTGGACATGCATGGGGAGGTTTGGTGCGGCCTGAGACCCATCCCTTGTGCCCCCTCTGAAGCTGGGGGAGTCTCACGAGCCGCCTGCCTGGCAAGGGAACCAGGAAGGGGGCAGAAGCCAGGCACTCAGAGGCCCCTGGGCTTGCTTTGAGGCACACTAAGTGGATTAGCAGTGGCAGGCACACGCATGCGCGCGCATACACACACACACACACAGCACCTCCAGCTCAGGTGGTCCTGCCCCTGGCGCATGCTGCGACCCCCAGGAACCCTCAGCCCAGCTCATCGGGGTTGGCGGGGAGGAAGAGTGGAACAGGGCCCCCCCAAATCCCACCATGCTTGTCTGTAGATAGTGGGGAGGGTCAGGACAGGGCTGAAACACAGCCCTGCCTGGGAGACCAGGTGTTTCGGGAACCTGGCTGTGCCCCCAGCGGTGGGACTTTGCTCTGTCCTTTGCTAACCCTCTGTGAGCCTCAGCTGCCATTGAAAAAGGCTATTTGTTGTCTTCACTTTTTTTCCATCCGCTGGTTTAGTCCCCAAACAAATGCCGGCCACAGCCAGAGCTGGGGCCAGGCTAAAGCCAGGATCGCGGAACGCCTTTCAGGGCTCTCCCACATGGCTGGGCGGCAGGGACCCACGGACCTGAGCCAGCGCCGCTGCCTCTCAGCGTCTGCATTAGCAGGAGGCTGGACTGGAAGCAGAGCTGAGCCCTTACCCAAGAGGTGGCTTGCCTGTGGCCCCAGACCCCGCCCACTGCCACTTCTTAGGATCAGCGGCGTCCTGGTGCTCCTACCAGCACCCATGACAACTTAGGCTCGAGGAATAATGGGCTGTCTTCCTCTCAAGTTTTTCTCTCCGGCCATCCGCCCCCACTGGCCAGTGTCTCTCCCCCCGCAGCCCCTCCATTTCCCCCGTAGAAGTCAACGCAGGAGAAATCAAGATTTCTGTAACTGGGTCGCCATCCAGCGGAAGTGCCCATCGGATGCCAGAACCCACACTTAGGTCTACGCGTGGGTCTCTGTAGCCCACCAGCCCACCTGGGGCCAGACCCCGTCCCAGGCCGAATTCTGCCCTCCCCTTCTGAAGCCAGATTCCTGGGAAGTCGTGTCCTCGCATCTTGCTTGGCGAGCTCCGGGGAGAGGCAAATCGAATCCCATGGCATGGCCGGGGTGCACCTTGGGGACGGCGGTGCCCAAGGTCGAGCCTGTGTGGCGACTTTGGGCCCTCAGCATGACCTCCTGTGGGTGAGGGTTGGGCGCCCGACTCCCCTGAGCCAGTAGCAGCCCCTGGGCGGCGACCTCAGCCAGAGCACTTGGTCCGCGCCGGGGTGTGGGAACCCGGGAGGAGCCTCTCCGAGAGCGGCTGCAGAGAGGCTCCCGTCAGATTTCCGCCTCTCCCTGCCGTTCCTTCCTTTCTAATGCCCCGCGTGGGTCGTGGTTGTGCAGTGTCAGTCCCTCCTGCTCCTCCTTTCCCCAGATTTTGTCGGGAAACTCGGGGTTCTGCAGGCTCCTTGGGGTTCGCCACATCTGCGGCGTTCCCCAGCCCCAGGCTCTGGGCACATATCGCCCCCCGGCTTGCTCTCTGTCTACTCCCGTTTCTCTGTGGCTCTCCTTCCACACGGCTGGGCCCTGGGCTGTCCCTGCCTCGTTCAGCCTGGCTGTGAATGCAGCAGGCTCTCGGAGGGGCCCTGGGAGAACGGAGCCGCACTGTGCCTGTGTCCTGGAGGGACTGCTAGTGGGAGTTTGGTTCACAACAGCCAAGTCTGAGCCGGGAGCTCCATCCAGTGCAGGGGCCCAAGCCCTTGGGACGTCTTCTGCTGCTTTCCCATGCACGTTTGCAGGGGGCTGGATGGGAAGGGGAGCAGCCGGGGCTCAAACCGGCACCCATACGAGAGTCATTATCGACAGAGGCACTGTGCTGTCTTCCAGGGGACGTGGAGACCCCGTCACCATTGCCACAGAGCAGTGGGTGGTGGGGATCCCTGGGGGCGTGCTGGGAGGGCCTGGGTCCCCGGTGGGTAAGTGCAGCCCCTCACCCCTTGGGCTGTAGCGCCTGTGGCCTCTGGAAACAGGGAGCAGGCGACTACAGGGGCGACAGCGCGGGCTGGCAAGCCCAGGTCCATGCCCCAAGCTCTCTGGTTTGCCCATTCTGAACTTCATGATCTAAAAGGCCCTGTTTCTCCTCATTTCTTGGATCAGTTCCAAGACAACAAAGCGGGACTCAAGGGCGGGAAAGCCACGTGCAGGCTCCTGGCGCTGCAGCCTGGGTCCCGCGCCACCTGGGGCTTCTTTGAACGCCTCTTCCTGTCTCAGCTGGGCCGTCTTGGGCGGGACGTCGTTGCTAATGTGGTCTCCCTTTGGCTTTGCAGCTGTGCGGCGCGATGGGACCCTCCCCTCCGGCCTTCCTGGTCCTGGTCCTCGGCTGGCTCCTGGCAGGTATGCGCCCCAGCCCCCTCTGGGCCCCTCGCCCCCGGGGAGCCATGTCCTGTGGGTGTGGTGCTTGTGTCCCGAGCGCCCGGAGCTGCAGGGACCACAAACCCCAGCTCCCTTGGCCTGGGTGTCCCCCTAGCGGCAGCTTCAGGAGGGTCAGGATCCGGCACGGGAGGTGGTCAGCGAGGAGAGCCCCCATCCACCCCAGCACATGGGCTTCCAGGAGGGGTGGGTCAGGGCCCACAAAGGGCATTCCCAGGAACCCAGAGCAGAAAGTGTGTGCCCAGGAAGTCACACCTGCTCTCCCGTTGCCTGGCCGTCTCGGAGGTGCCTGTCCTGGTCCCCAGGACTCGAGTGGCGGCTCTGTGCCTGGCTGTGGGGACTCCCCTGGGCTCTCACTGCAGGTCGTCGTTTGGCCATTGGTTGGGACATCTGTCGGACGGACCTGGCTTTTATCCACTTGTGCCTGCATCACCCGTCCTTTTCCAGTTGAGGCGCTAAGCTTACCTGCTTGCCGTTTTAGGTCCTATCTATGGGGGTGTGGTGGATATGAGCCAGACCAGAGGCTCTGCACCCACTCCGCCAGCTCCGCAGCCCCTCTGCAGGGTGCTGGGTGGCCCGGGTGCACTCGGGGGCACCCTGCTCTCACACGTCCACCCCGGGGAGGCTCAGAGCCCGTTCACCGAGATGGTGGTGTCTGCACGGCCCGTTCACCGGGGGCTTCCTCCTGCAGGGCCGAGCCTCACGCGCTGCCAGCTCCCGCTACCCTCCATCTCCCCCGGCGACAGCGAGAGGGTGGTGCCGCTGAACTCCTCTTTCACCCTGCGCTGCTCCGGGGAGAGTGAAGTGAGCTGGCAGTACCCCGTGTCCGAGGACGAGGGCCCCAGGGTGGACGTCAGGAGCGAGGAGAACAACACTGGCTATTTTGTGGCCGTGCTGGAGGTGGGCAGTGCCACCGCGGCCCACACGGGCTTGTACACCTGCTACTACAACCACACGCAGACGGAGGACAGCGACGTGGAAGGCAGCCACGTGTACATCTACGTGCCGGGTGAGTGGGTGGGGCCGCGGGCCGAGCTCCCTGTGGTCCTGTTGCAATCTCTCTCTCCCTCTCTCTCTCTCCCTCTTTTTCAGATTTGGCTTATTAGTTTATTTTTGTAAAGATTTCTTTTTATTTATTCGAAAGGCAGAGTGAGAGAGAGAGAAGGAGGAATCTTCCATCTGCCACTGCACTAGTTAGTCCCTGATAGGCGTTTTGTGTTTTGACGTTTTTATTTTTTAAACATGCACTCATCTGTTTGAAAGGCAGTGTTCAATGAGATAGAGCGCGAGCTCCTCCGCCTGCTGGTTCCCTCCTCACGTGGCTGCGACAGCAAGGACCAGTCCAGGCCGGAGTCAGGTGCCTCCTCCAGGGCTCCCCCGTGGGTGCAGGGACCCAAACACTCGGGCCGTTTTCTGCTTCCCTGGTGCCTCAGCAGGAGCTGGATGGGTAGTCAGCGCCCATACAGGACGCTGGCATTAGGTTGTGGCCCAGTCCGCTGCACCACAACACCGGCCCCAATAGGTCTAGCTCAGAACCTAAAAACTATGGTTATTTTCTCCTGTTTTGAACAGAGTTGGAGTCTGTTATTGTCCGTGTTTGCTTTTTGTTCTTTAAATGTTGATTTGAATTCCTGGCTAGTATTCCTCTGTTGTTGATACTCTTAGGATTCAGGCAGTGTGGTATTGTTCAGACTTTGAAATCCCCACCTAGGGGCTGGCGCTGTGGCGCAGATGGTTAAGCTGCTGCCTGCCACACCGGCATCCCATAGGGGCGCTGGTTCAAGTCCCGGCTGCTCCACTTCTGATCCAGCTCCCTGCCGATGCGCCTGGGAAAGCAGTGGAGGATGGCCTGGGTGTTTGGGCCCCTACATCCACGTAGGAGACCCAGATGAAGCTCCAGTCTCCTGGCTTTGGCCTTCGTGGTCCTGGCCATTGCAGCCATTTGGGGAGCAAACCAGTGGGTGGAAAATTCTCCTTCCTTCTCTGTCCGTCTCTCTCTGCCTTTCAAATAAATAAATCTTTATTTAAAAAAGGAAGCGAGCTCTGGCCGTGGCGGTGGCAGCGTCAGTGGGGTGCACCTGTGCTGAGGGTAGCTGGGCGGGGTGATTTTCTGGAAGGAGGGGTGGAGCTGGAATCCGTGCCTGGAAGATTCTTCTTCCTCTCTAACCCCAGACCCGGACGTCGCCTTCGTGCCCCTGGGGATGACCGACTACCTGGTCATCGTGGAGGACGACGACTCGGCCATCATCCCGTGTCGCACCACCGACCCCGAGACCCCCGTCACCCTGCGCAACAGCCAGGGCCTGGTGCCCGCCTCCTACGACAGCCGGCACGGCTTCAACGGCACCTTCACCATGGGGCCCTACGTGTGTGAGGCCACCGTGCGCGGGAAGACCGTGCAGACCATCCCCTTCAACATCTACGCCTTGAAAGGTGCCGTACCCCTACCCCACCCCACCCTCACCCCCGGGTTCTCGCTCCACAGTCCCCGCCCGCACGGTCGCTGGACGGCGTCAGCCTGACCTCTGTGGCTGTGACGCCACCGGGCTTCCAGGGTGCCTACCTGTGTAGGAGCTCCCGGTTACCCCGAAAGACTGCGAGGAATTCTTTTCTTGCCTAAATCTCTTAGCGTTTTGTGCACGTTCCTGGCTGCGCAGGCCCTAGAAACAAAGCTACACCCCAGGGCGAGGCAGTGGAGGCTTAGATGAATTTTATTAACTTAAGAGAAGGGATTGTGCTGGGGAGAGTGTGGTTGGGGACTTTGATGTGAGCCGAGCTGGCACGGATGGGGCCCTGCGTGCTGGACTGGCAGGTGTTTGCTCAGTGTTGTGGGGGGTGGCTGGCTGTTTAATCCTTGGTGAGGGCCTGCCTTGTGCCAGGCACGGGGCTAGGTTCTGGGGAGGAGCTGAGTGACGGGGAAGTGGGCACAGGACAGGAGCCAAGTGCCTCGCATAGTGCTGGCCAGCCAAGCCTGGCTGGTGAACGAGTCAGTGCCCGTGAGCGAGCCGGGGCACAGCTGCCCGCGGGTGCCGGGAGCCTGCGTTCTGCTCACGTGGACTGTTGTCTGCTCTTGTCATTATTTTGTATTTCTGTGCAGCTGCTGGCTGCCCCTCCGTCTTCAGGACCTCAATAGCCAGGCCTCTGAGGTTTTACAGATTCTGTCTCCCTCGAACTGATTGGTGGAGCATTTTGCGGGGTTTTCTCACCCGTGCGCACTTGAAGCCGTCTCATAAGCCGAGCGCACCGGGGCGGGGGGGGGGGATTCAGGCGCTCGTGTGTGCGCACGGGGGGATTCAGGCGCTCGTGTGTGCGCACGGGGGGATTCAGGCGCTCGTGTGTGCGCACGGGGGGATTCAGGCGCTCGTGTGTGCTCACCGGGGGATTCAGGCGCTCGTGTGTGCGCACGGGGGGATTCAGGCGCTCGTGTGTGTTCTCATTGCAGCGACGTCGGAGTTGGATCTGGAAATGGAAGCGCTCCAGACTGTGTATAAGGCAGGAGAGACGATTGTGGTCACCTGCGCCGTCTTCAACAACGAAGTGGTGGACCTGCAGTGGACTTACCCCGGGGAGATGGTGGGTGCCCCATGGAGACGGCCGTGGTGCACTTGGCTGCACGTGCATCTCGCTAGGGATCGCGGGCAGGTGCATCCCCCTAGTGATCCATGTCCTGTTGGCGTTGCTGGGCCCCTCGCCTCTGCAGTGAGCACCAGGTGGTCTTTCAGGCTCCTCCCTTGAGGGTGGGCATTGGCCCAGCTGCCTCAGACTCCTGCATCTCACCACAGTGCCTGGCGTGGAGTCCTGGCTTCACTCTGGATTCCAGCTGCCTGCTAATGCCACTGTGTGCACCCTGGGAGGCCTCAAGTCCTTGGGCCCCTGCCACCCACACAGGAGACCTGGACTGTGTTCCTGGCCCCTGGCTCCGGCGTGGCCCAGCTCCAGCGGTTGTGGGCCTTGCGGGGAGTGAACGGGCAGACAGAACATGCTAGTCCTCTCTCTGCTTCTCAGATAAATGAATAAAATAGAGCGCACATCTTCAAAGCTTTTTTTTTCCTCTGCCACTGCAGAAGGGCAAAGGTGTCACAATGCTGGAAGAAATCAAAGTCCCCACACTCAAGCTGGTGTACACGCTGACGGTCCCCAGGGCCACAGTGAAGGACAGCGGGGACTATGAGTGCGCTGCCCGCCAGGCCACCAGGGAGGTCAAAGAGATGAAGAAGGTCACCATCGCTGTGCATGGTAGGGCCCGCCTCCCGCGAGGGCTGCCGGGGCCGTGTGCACTGCGGGGGGCCGTGTGCACTGCCGTGGCCGTGTGCACTGCGGGGGCCGTGTGCACTGTGGGGGGCCGTGTGCACTGTGGGGGCCGTGTGCGCTGCAGGGGGCCGTGTGCGCTGCGGGGGGCCATGTGCGCTGTGGGGGCCGTGTGTGCTGCGGGGGCCGTGTGTACTGCCAGGGGCCCTGTGCACTGCGGGGGGCCGTGTGCACTGACGCCCTTGCTCCAATGCGCACTCTTCCCTCTGCAGAGAAGGGGTTTGTGGAGATCAAGCCCACTTTCAACCAGTCGGAGGCCGTCAACCTGCACGAAGTGAAGCATTTCGTGGTGGAGGTGCGCGCCTACCCCCCGCCCAGGATATCCTGGCTGAAGGACAGCCGGACTCTGATCGAGAATCTCACGGAGATCACCACGGACGTGGAGCAGGTGCAGGAGACGCGGTAAGGAGCCCCAGGCGCACCTGGCAGACCTGAGACGGGGCGGCGGGAGGTCCCCGGCGTGGGTGCTGTGTCGGTGGCACCAGGAGCCACCTGTCATCTTCCCCACCCCCCGTCACAGACAGGGCGCTGGCTCTGCGGGGTGGGGCAGGGAGGAAGGAGAGGGTAATGGAGACCATTTGGGTTGAACGCATTCCTTGATGTCTCCAGGAAACACAGTGTTGTTGGCTCAGCGTGGAACACAGTTGCCCTGGTAGGGGGCTCCATGGGCACTAGGAATGTCCTGGCTAGAAGTGGTGCCGGGGCTGCTTGGTGACATGGGCAGGTTGCTCTCGTCTCTTGACCACTGGTGGAGAAGTCTGGGTCTGTCACCCCCAGGGACCTGTAATGCAGCTTTGGGAAAAGCTTAGGCCCTTGGAGGGGAGGACTGGGGTCGGGTGATAGCCTGAGGTCTCCTGGGGTTTTCGGCTGTGATCGGGATCTGAGACTCAGAGCTGTGTCTGCAAGGACTGGCTCCTTCAGCTCCGAGCCTGTGCAGAAGCGGGGTGGCGCCTGTCTCCTCTGTTCCGTTAGCCTCAGCGTTTGCCTGCTTCCTTCTGGACTAAGCTCCATGTGTAATCGATCAGCAGCATGTGGAAAATGGAATTTTCTGACCTCTGTGGAGCAGGGATGGCAGATAGTGCAGTGCTCAGCCTGGAAGGTTCTTCTGCCTTTGTCTGGCTCCGCCCCGGCCGCTGTGGCTCTCTGGGGAGGGAGCCAGTGGATGGAAGACCTCTCTCTGTCTCTCCCTCTCTCTGTCATTCTGCCTTTCAAATAAAGAAAGAAATCTTTAAAAAAACAAAACAAAACAAACGCCTCGTAAGAAGGCTCACTCCTCTTTGTCCGTCTGCCCAGTCGCGCCTCCTCCCCACTTGTATCAGCTTCATTAGGTTCTTCTGGAACTTTCTGAAGTTTCTGTAGGCAAACGCCAGCAGTGGGAATGTTAGGTCCTCCACACGGGTTCCTAGAGAGCTCCCTGGCTCTTTGCTCTCCTGGGGCTCCACTGGCCAAGACGGTGGAGATCCCAGATGGTGGATATTTATAGGAAGCAGGTGTTTTGTTTAAAAAAGGTAGAAATCAAATTTTTTTTTTTTCCAAATGAGAGAAGCTCACAGGCTGTGCATACCTGGTTCAAAAGGCCACAGCAGAACTTGCAGATGAC